AGCCTTACAGCAGGACGTGTGGGCTTTCTCTGTCCCACCTGCAAAAAGCTTCACTTCTTACAGCTTTGCTGGCAAGTAAAGTTACTGTTCCACAGCTTTGCTGGGGGAATATAGCCAGCTTTGCTGGAAAATAAAGGAATGGTTCCATGGCCTTCGTGGGGCAAATCTATAGGACACCAGCTTGGCAGATCTACAGCAACCATTGCCTGGTAAGGGACCACTCAGGCTATCCATAACGCAGCTTGGAGCCGGGAGTTGGGGCCTCACGCCAGCAGAGTAAAGAAAGAGTGCCCAAGGAGGGCTCGGAAGGTTTCCCTAAAGAAGATAGGAACAGTTCATCAAGCAGTTGCCTGTCCCTTGTCGGCAGATAGAGAAAGCTACCAGTTTTTCAAGATTATATAGCATTTAATTAATTCGTTCGAAGATTTAAGCCTTAATAAAGAACTTTGTTGAACCTATTTTGAGCCTCTACAGAACTTTGTGTTGGGAAACCTATGGGACCCTTTAGCTGAGGCACCCTGGCGTTCCGTTGGGCATATAGAAAGCACTTCCTGTAAACAGACATTGTCATAGGCCCAGCGCACGACAGCACATATACCCTGGGTGTTATACTCTGAGGAAATAACATTGTCAAGCTCTGATCAGACTCATCCTCAAGGCTGCCTGTATTTTTCCCACCTCTTTGTTTATATATGAAAGAAACTGTGTAAAATGCACCATCACTGTTCTGTTGTATCTAGCCTAACCTTGATGAAGCCAGTTCTGGTTAAAGGCCACCTGCCTGGAGTCTGGAGGTGAAACTGATCCAAGCTGCTTCCTTGTTCAGCTCATTAATGCTTTTCGTTCCTTACTCAACAGGTGAAACTGGTCCGCTACATCGGCATCCAGCTGCAGTGCAAGTTGAGTGTCCCTCCGAGCGACAGGTCAGCAGAGCTGAATAGCTACCCAAGGTTCAGCGACTGGCTATATCTTGTCAACCTGAGGAAAGACGTCGTGCAGGTAAGCACTTCATGGTTTTATTTTGAGATGAATCTAGATTTGAATAATATGGGAGGGGAAGGTTTATAAACAAAAGGTTTTCCTGGGTTGCTGTGAGTTTTCTGGGCTGTATGACAGTTTTCCAGAAGCAGTCTCTCCTGACTTTTCGCCCACATCTATGGCAAGCATCCTCAGAGGTTGAGAGGTCTGTTGGAAAACTAGGCAAGTGAGGGTTGTTGTAGATTTTTTCAGGCTATATGGCCATGTTTTAGAGGCATTATCTCCTGACGTTTTGCCTGCAGAAGTAGTGAGGTCTGTTGCAACTAGGACAAAGTGGAATGACCAGGGTGGGACAAAGGATTCTTGTCTGTTAGAGCTAAGTGTGAATGTTTCAACTGACCACCTTCATTAGCATTTGATGGCCTGGCAGTGCCTAGGGCAATCTTTTGTTGAGAGGTGATTAGATGTCCTTGTTTATTTCCTCTCTGTTGTTTTGCTGTTTTAATTTTAGAGTTTTTTAATACTGGTAGTCAGATTTTGTTCATTTTCATGTTTCCTCCTTTCTGTTGAAATTGTCCACATGCTATTTTCCCCGGACTCCACCAGTGTTCACATTTGGGCATATTGAGTATTCATGCCAAGTTTGGTCCAGATCCACGATTGCATGAGTCCACAGTGCTCTCTGGATATAGGTGAACTACAACTCCCAAACTCAAGGTCAATGCCCATCAAACCCTTCCAATGTTTTCCATTGGTCATGGGAGCCAAGTTTGGTTCAAATCCATCGCTGGTGGAGTTCAGAATGCTCTTTGATTATAAGTGAACTATAAATCCTAGCAACTACAACTCCCAAATTACAAAATCAATCCTCGCCCAACCCCACTAGCATTCACATTTGGGTGTATTGGGTATTTGTGCCCAGTTTGGTCCAGGGAATGAAAATGCATCCTGCATATCAGATATTTACATTATGATATATAACAGTAGTAAAATGACTGTTATGAAGTAGCAATGAAAACAATATTATGGTTGTGGGTCACCACAACATGGGGGACTGTATTAAGGGGTCACGCCATTAGGAAGGTTGAGAACCACTGCACTAGAAGGGTTTGGTGAGCATTGACCTTGAGTTTGGGAGTTGTAGTTCACCTACATCCAGAGATCACTGTGGACTCAAAACAATGATGGATCTGGACCAAACTCTACACAAATACTCAATATGCCCAAATGTGAACACTGGTGTAGTTTGGGGAATATAGAATCTCAACATTTGGGAGTTGTAGTTGCCGGGATTTATAGTTCACCTACAATCACAGAGTATTCTGAACCCCACCAATGATAGAATTGGGCCAAACCCCCCACACAGAACCCCCATGACCATCAGAGTGGGCCACAGCAACGCGTGGCAGGGGACGGCTAGTCACATATAATTTTGTGTGCTTCTCCTTTTGGAAACTCAGCAAAAATATGTGTTATTTGCCATGAGCTGTACTTCACCTAAGTCTCTGTTTTTGCCAGGAGGAGACCCAACTTGTTTTGTAGCATTTTGATGCTCAACTGGCAGAAAATTGGCCGAGTGGGTGAAGGTGGTGGTTAATGCCTCCCTTCGGGAGGGCAAAATTCCAGCCAGCTTAAAGC